TTTTCTCAGGATCGATTACAAATTGATTACAATTGAAGCTAACAATTCCTTTCTTTTTCGATGAAATAATCGCTTCTAGCAGACACGATATTAATTAATTGGATATAAAATGTATCAGGTTTTCAGGCAAAAAACACCTCTATGTCTACGATCAATTCTTCAAAATTGTTTTATCGTTTCATATATATATATATATATATATATATATATATATATATATAGAGAGAGAGAGAGAGAGAGAGAGAGAGAGAGAGTGAGAGAGATAATAGTAGTGGTCAATATATATATATATATATGTATATATATATATATGTATATAATAGATAGATAGATAGATAGATAGATAGATAGATAGATAGATAGATATCGAGAGAGATAATATTAGTGGCCAATATATATATATATATATATATATATATATATATATATATATATATAGAGAGAGAGAGAGAGAGAGAGATAGGGAGAGATAATATTTGTGGTCAATATACATATATATATATATATATATATAATAGAGATATAATATTGGTGGTCAATATACATATATATATATATATATATATATATATATATATATATATATATATATGGAGAGAGATAATATTAGTGGTCAATATATATATATATATATATATATATATATATATATATATATACAGTATAAACCTTACCTTTATGATTTTACTATAAACTAGACATATGTCTACTATTTAACTCTCCGTGTAAACCAAATATTCAGGGTGATTGAAAAGCAACTCCTGTCAAATCAGCTCCTCTTTTATACTAATTTGATCCCCCCCCCCTGTCTGTCTGTTGCCAGCTTAATTAGGAAACGATATAAATTAAAGTCCCCAGTTCATATTCGGGCCAGATCGAAACATTTAAACAAAAAGCAAACAAACAAAAAAAAAACGACGTTCACTTTTCATTCGGAAACAGAGGCGTGTGTGTTGTCACCAAGCAATTTGGATTAGTGTAAAGAAATTTGCATTTACTTCTACTGCTCGATCTATTCAGCAGCAAAATCGAATTCGCAAAATAAATTAGAAAGAGAGATTTGTTGTTTTTTCATAAACAATTAAAAATTTAATCAATCTAACAGTTTTTTGTTTTTTTAAATGAAGTAATCGCATCGAACAGACACGATATTAAGTCATTGAATATAAAATGTATGACGTTTCCAGGCAAAAAAAACACCTCCATGTCTACGATCAATTCTTCCAAAATTTTTTTATCCTTTCATATCCAGAAAATGTAATAGGTAGATAGGTGGGTAAGCATTCGTTTATCCGGCAAGATATTGGCAGGTGGCCGAGTAGTTAGAACGTTCGCTTTCTGACCATGAGATCCAGGTTTGAATCTACCCAGGTAGACTATTGTCCCGGAGAAGCCAATCCCAGCGTGCGGCACCTTTGGAATATATCTGAAAAACCAGACCACGGGTGGACCCAAGCCTTGTGAGTGAAGTTGGGTAGGTGGAACTCTTGCGTAGAGCAAACAGTAACTGTAGCGAGAATCTATGAAATTGTTTTGGATCAATGAAAACCTTGTCTTCACAGAAATTAACCGGAAAGAAATTGGTTGAGCCTATGCGAATTTCTTTTTGATATAAAATGAGGAGAAAAACTAAATTAATAAGATAAGAATCTCTGAAGTTATTTGAAAGGTTTCGTTTCAATCCCTCGCGAACAGCGACTAGTGGTCAAGTTTTTGTTTTTTTTTCTTATGATCAATTACAAATTGATTAGAGATCAAGCTAACAGTTCATTTCATTTTCAATGAAATAATCGCTTCTAGCAGACATGATCTTAATTAATTGGGCATAAAATGTATGAGGTTTCCAGGGAAAAGAACCCTCTCCGTCTACGGTCATTACTTTCAAAATTGTTTTAACTTTTCCCTTCTAGAAAATGTTATAGGTAGGTAGGTAAGTAGGTAGGTAATCATCGCGAGATAATGGTAGTGCCCTATTTGGTGAAGATTCAGTCTTTTAGGGGTGAGACTGGAGAGATCTCTCTAAGGACTGACCTGAGCACTTATACCTGAAAGCTGCACTTTGCGCAGACTACATACTCCCCGCAAGAAGCCCGTTTGTAACGATCCAAAGAAATACAAGGGTATTATATTTGGGAGCGGCTTGGATTGGTCGAACAGTACTCTGTGCATGTCAATCGGGCTGGGTTGCGACCATGGCTACGTCTAGTTTGGACCATATCAGGACCTGCTAAGACAAGCCAAGACCAACTTGGACTAAAACTTGACTAAGCCTTGACCAGCTTGGACATGTTATGACCAAAACATTGACCAAGCTTTGACCAGCTTGGACATGTTATGACCAATCTTTGACCAGTGACCCTATGCGGAAACGCTCGGGTTTCCCACGAAAAACGACCTTGTGTCACATCTTGACCTCGTGGGAGTCAACTAAATACCGTCAATAGCAAAAACACCAACGTAAAAACCGCAAACAGAAAGAACGTACTGCATAAATATTTGGTTTCTTTAAAGGTAAAGGTAAACGTTGTTAGAGGCACAATTTATGTGGATGTGTTTGGAAGATATCGATAGAATTGAATAGATTGTTATTGTAGTGCTTCGGGAAGCATCATCTTGGGATAACCCACCAACCTCCACCCTCTAACAAAGCACAAAGCAGCCGTTCGAGGATAAAAACTACTCGAGTGAAAGTGATATATTACTATCAGAATACGAAGGGAATGACCAGGCTCTGGTAATCTAGAGCAGTGGTTCTTAACCTTTCCTAAGTCAGTGACCACTTTAATTACGGACCCCTTCAGTCAAGGACCAATATAAGAAGTAGCCCTTCAAAAATAGAGACAAGCAGATCTACTCACAGTTTGATTTTTTTTTGCACAATATTGCATGTGCATCTCTCCATGCTGCACACTCATGCACACTGCACGTATATAACCTTTCAGATAGTCACGCTTGAAAGAAATTGTGTCCGATTAATTCTCACCAGTATATGAGAATGTAACCAAACCGTTAAAAAAAAAGTGGAACATAAGAATTACCAGTTGTTTTTATGGAGTGGTAAAAGGTGACTGTCGGGCAGAGAATGATGGCACACGTTTAAATGGTAAACATAGACCTATCAGCAAATCAAGAGACGCCTAGTGGCTGGGGAGTTGTAAGTAGTGGCTGGGGGCGTTTTCCTCAAAAAGTAGCCAGATGCATTTTCTGTTATTGCTTTCAATGGGAAAGTCGTCTAGCTAATATAAATGTTAATTTTTATCTGATCCCCATGAATCCCCTGGAACATATCCATTTACCTCTAGGGGTTCCATGGACCTCTGATTAAGAAGCCCTGATCTAGGGTTTTCGACGTGCACATATACAGTTGCATCATCTGCATAAATGACGATAGCCCTACACAGTCACACTTGATATCTCCATCTTGTCAGATTGGTGAAGTCTTCCAATATGATTTACAAGAAGTGTATCTGTCGAGTACCGGTTACTTCTGAAACTCACTCAATTCCCTCAGGCTTCCTTGTGCAATATAGGACCAAAACCTTATGACGACAAGCGCTTCTGCTATAGTTTCCGTGCAAATGAAATTTTAACGCAACGGCATTGCTCAACTAATCCCCATCCAATTTACAATTGACGGTTGTACTTCTTCTTGGCTAATTGCCAATCAACGTTGAAGAGCTCAGTCTGTACTACTGCGTAAATCACATATAAGGGGGATAGAAATGAGGGATTTGTATCTTTCACAAGAATATGTGCGTGAATTTAACGAAAGCGGTTGAAATTCGAACTCGGTTGGGATTCGAACTCGAGTGGAATCCTAATTCAGTCGGAATTCGAACTCAGTCGCAATTCGAACACAGTCGAAATTCGAATGCAGTCAAAATTCGAACTCGGTCGCAATTCGAATGCAGTCAAAATTCGAACTCGGTCGCAATTCGAATGCAGTCAAAATTTCGAAGTCGGTCGCAATTCGAACACAGTCGAAATTCGAATGCAGTCAAAATTCGAACTCGGTCGCAATTCGAATGCAGTCAAAATTCGAACTCGGTCGCAATTCGAATGCAGTCAAAATTTCGAAGTCGGTCGCAATTCGAACACAGTCGGAATTCGAATGCAGTCAAAATTTGAACTCGGTCGCAATTCGAATGCAGTCAAAATTCGAAATCGGTCGCAATTCGAACAAGGTTGAAATTCAAACTCGGCTGGAAATCGAACTCGGCTTGCCGATTTCGAAATTCCGAGCCGCTATCCATTACACTCATGTGCATACTCTTACTTTTTAAAATACTTATTTGAAATGCACTTGGGAATACTCATATTAATTAATTGAGTGGTTGGTTAAACTACCGCAGTCGTGTTCATATAGTCACTGTAAATTCCGCGATCATATCACTAGCGACATACTATGTGATTCGCATGGGCTACATACAGTTTTTGAATTCAAACTTGTTTCTCTCCTAGACTGTTTGCTAACCATGGCTAACGTACCCAGTCTGAGCTACTGTTTAACAAATTCCTTCAATTAGACCGATTGCCACCCAGAACTATAGAATCGCGTCTGTCCTGCTATTTATCCATACATGGGGAGAGTGAGAAGAATTTTAGTCATACTTTTCTCAAGGGTATTAATATGTGAATGCAATGAACTCTGGAATTAGAACCCATCTTCTCCGATTCCTCACTTACGGAATTTATTACTCTACTGTCTGGTGGAATATTATATGTAATACTTATGTCACTGAATAATATATTTTTTTAAATTATGGAATCTTTTGCAGGGGATCCACCTAACATGAAAGGGGTACTTAAAATTTATCTGTTCGTTCTACTTTTCAAATTCATTATATTGATGTTGGGCCATTATGAGAAGTGGATCGAGCGGAGGACTTTTCATCACCACCACGTAGACAGCAAAGAATTAAAGGAAAAAGAAACGAAACCAATTGTCGTCCCTACATAAATGAATAACAATTCCTACATTATATTCTCCATGGCAGAATTTAGAAGAAAAAAAAACTTGCCATGATCACAGTCACCGCCATTGTCAATCGAGTTACTCCTCCAAAGAAAGATGCCGCGCCTATGAGAGCAAATGCCCCGGGGTCAATCCAAGCCCACATCTGTGGGTCATGACTACCGCTGTACATCAATATCTTCACCAGAATCAAACCAACAAACCGTCCATAAAGAGCGCCAATAAATCTGAAATATACGAAACGAGTTAGTAAGACGTTTAATTACTAGTCCGGCAGACATTTATTTTCAATGTTTTAAAAAAGAAAAAGGACAGAAGATATGGCAACTCAAACACGTGTACCCAGTAAATATGACATTTATAATAAGAAACAATGTACACACCCCAAAAAAAAGCAAACACACACACACACACACACACACACACACACACACACACACATATATATATATATATATATATATATATATATATATATATATATATATATAGGTAGGTAGCAATCCGTAGGTAAGTAAGTTACGATTTTTTTTTTATCAAATGTTTTAGTATTGACAAGTTCCAGTGAATTTATCCCGAGGAGCGAAATAGGGTAGAGTTGAATTTCCTTTTTATGCAATTCATTATATATATATATATATATATATATATATATATATATATATATATATATATATAAGTATATATAAGTGCGCAGGTATGCAGAAAATAGAAAAGAACACGTTGGGTGCCTAATCCGGGGTTCCTTAGTATTTTTGTTTTTATTTTTAAGAAGACAGTGCTCCATACAGAAGTAGAGCTTTATTATAATAATATTTTTTTTGTTTAAAAATATGATTCCTTCGCTACATAAAAGTTCTCATGTTTCAAAAAGGAGATTGCTAAAATTTCGCTTGAAGATGAAACAGGACTAAACATCTCAATTCAACTTAATTTTAATAATTATTTGGAGGGTTTCGGCTCTCGTTTTTGAAACATGAGAACTCTTACGTAGCGAAGGAATCATATTTTTAAACAAAAAATATTATATATATATATATATATATATATATATATATATATTCATAGATTACAGTAAAAACATTTTATATTGCTACACAAAAACTTTCATGTTTCAAAATTATAATAGTTCTTCCTCAGGCGATGGTAGATAACTTGTGATAAAGATGACGCATTAGGGAAATTTCAAAACACACCTTTACTTCTCTTTGTAAGTTAGACAGGGAATAAGGTCTGAATTAAAAATATACTTGTGGGTATGTCTAGATTAACCAATTAAAGGTCGGATCTAAGCTAAAATAGAAAAAGAAGGTTAGAGGGTGGAGGTTGGTGGGTTATTTGTTCATGTCATGATAAACTGACGCTTAGACATGTCAGCGACAAATGTATCAAGGATGTAGCCAATTTTGAAGTTCAGATTTGTTGAAGTAGACAGAGTATATGTAATTTTTTAAAAGTATATATATATATATATATATATATATATATATATATATATATATATATATATGTTACAGAGGCGCAGTTGACGAGAGAAATCCACATTACCCCACAAAAGACCTCAACACCCAGATCAGAGGTCTTGGTCCCACAGTTCTATGTCGAGATTTTGACGCCGAGACATAAGCCGTGGAATTTGTTAGATAAGGCGAGTCAGAAAAAATGTCACCAGTGTTTTTCATGATTTTTACCCGTCAAGATGGGCTTTGCTTCTGACATAATGTGACTGGTCTGTTCCAGGCAACTGGGATCGGCTGTAACCCCAGCAAGTGATACCTCTTCATCGACAGCTCGTTCAGGAGCCCCAGAGCCCAAGCTGCTTCATAGCAAGAACATTTAGCCATCTCTTGCCCTGCCTCACTAGGTGCAGCTCAAAATGAAATACAGCAGTGTCAAGAATTTACTAGATGCCTTGACATATGAAGAGTACTTTTAGGAGATTATCGGAGACTTCAAAGTGATGTGATTCTTGATGGGTCCCCAAGGAGGCTTTACCAAGATTCCATGTTATTTTTGCCTTTGAGACAACAAAGACACTGAGGAATCTCACAAAAAGCAGTTCAGTGTGGGAAGGAACAACGTCAACGTTTCAAATGGAAACCAGTGCTGGATCTCCGGAAAGTATTGTTTCCTCCATTGCACTTAGAATTGGGTTTCATGAAAGAATTTGCTTTAGCTCTAAATAAGGAATCTGCAGCCTTCAAGTACCTTAAAAAATTCTTCCTTAAGCTGCGGTAAAGGACAAAGCCGATATCTTCGTCGGACAACAAATAAAGATCATAGAGTGCCCGAAATTACCCAAGAAGCTCACTGAACGAGCAGCGTGTAACTTCTTTGTCGCAGTGGTTCAGGGTTTCCTGGGGAATCACCAGGCCGAAAACTGTATGAGGCTTGTTATGACCCTTGTAAAGAACTACGGCAAAATCGGTTACAGGAACCATATCCTTGAAGCTCAGGAATTTATCAAGAACTCACTAGGACAGAGACAAGTGGCGCGGAACAGCTTTGTCGCACTGGTTCGGGTTTCCTGGGGAATCACCAGACCAAAAACTATATTGTACTTGTTGAGACCCTGGTGAAGAACCATATCCTTGAAGCTCAGGAATTTATCAAGAACTCACTAGAACAGAGACAAGTGGCGCGGAACAGCTTTGTCGCACTGGTTTGGGATTTCCTGGGGAATCACCAGACCAAAAAAATTATATTGAGACCCTGGTGAAGAACCATATCCTTGAAGCTCAGGAATTTATCAAGAACTCACTAGGACAGAGACAAGTGGAAGAACACTGGTTTGGGATTTCCTGGGAATCACCAGACCAAAAACTATGCTTGTTGAGACCCTGGTGAAGAACCATATCCTAGATGCTTTAAAATTTATCAAGAACTCACTTGGACAGAGACAAGTGGCGCGGAACAGCTTTGTCACACTGGTTTGGGATTTCCTGGGGAATCACCAGACCAAAATCTATATTGTGCTTGTTGAGACCCTGGTGAAGAACCATATCCTAGATGCTTTGAAATTTATCAAGAACTCACTAGAACAGAGACAAGTGGCGCGGAAGAGCTTTGTCGCACTGGTTTGGGATTTCTTGGGGAATCACCAGACCAAAATCTGTATTGTGCTTGTTGAGACCCTGGTAAAGAACCATATCCTAGATGCTTTGAAATTTATCAAGAACTCACTAGAACAGAGACAAGTGGCACGGAACAGCTTTGTCGCACTAGTTTGGGATTTCCTGGGGAATAACCAGGCCAAAATCTATATTGTGTTTTTTGAGACCCTGGTGAAGAACCATATCCTAGATGCTTTGAAATTTATCAAGAACTCACTAGAACAGAGACAAGTGGCGCGGAACAGCTTTGTCGCACTGGTTTGGGATTTCCTGGGGAATAACCAGGCCAAAATATATGTTGTGCTTGTTGAGACTCTGGTGAAGAACCATATCCTAGATGCGTTGAAATTTATTAAGAACTCACTAGGACAGAGTCAAGTGGCGCGGAACAGCTTTGTCGCACTGGTTTGGGATTTCCTGGGGAATAACCAGGCCAAAATCTATATTGTGCTTGTTGAGACCCTGGTGAAGAACCATATCCTAGATGCTTTGAAATTTATCAAGAACTCACTAGAACAGAGACAAGTGGCACGGAACAGCTTTGTCGCACTGGTTTGGGATTTCCTGGGGAATAACCAGGCCAAAATCTATATTGTGCTTGTTGAGACCCTGGTGAAGAACCATATCCTAGATGCTTTGAAATTTATCAAGAACTCACTAGAACAGAAACAAGTGGCACGGAACAGCTTTGTCGCACTGGTTTGGGATTTCCTGGGGAATAACCAGGCCAAAATCTATATTGTGCTTGTTGAGACCCTGGTGAAGAACCATATCCTAGATGCTTTGAAATTTATCAAGAACTCACTTGGACAGAGACAAGTGGCGCGGAACAGCTTTGTCGCACTGGTTTGGGATTTCTTGGGGAATCACCAGACCAAAATCTGTATTGTGTGTGTTGAGACCCTGGTGAAGAACCATATCCTAGATGCTTTGAAATTTATCAAGAACTCACTAGAACAGAGACAAGTGGCACGGAACAGCTTTGTCGCACTGGTTTGGGATTTCCTGGTGAATCACCAGACCAAAAACTATATTGTACTTGTTGAGACCCTGGTGAAGCACCATATCCTAGATTCTTTGAAATTTATCAAGAACTCACTAGAACAGAGACAAGTGGCGCGGAACAGCTCTGTCGCACTGGTTTGGGATTTCCTGGGGAATCACCAGACCAAAATAGATATTGTGCTTGTTGAGACCCTGGTGAAGAACCATATCCTAGATGCTTTGAAATTTATCAAGAACTCACTAGAACAGAGACAAGTGGCACGGAACAGCTTTGTCGCACTGGTTTGGGATTTCCTGGGGAATAACCAGGCCAAAATCTATATTGTGCTTGTTGAGACCCTGGTGAAGAACCATATCCTAGATGCTTTGAAATTTATCAGGAACTCACTAGAACAGAGACAAGTGGCACGGAACAGCTTTGTCCCACTGGTTTGGGATTTCCTGGGGAAATCCAGGCCAAGTGGAGTTTGTTGAGACCTTGGTGAATAACTACTGCAAAATGAGCTGAAGGTTATCCCTCAAAGTTCACATCCTTGACGCTTATTTTGATAAATTCAAGGTAAATATGAGGGCGTACTTAGAAAAGCAAGGCGAGAGCTTCCACCAGGATATACTGGACTTTGGACGCCGCTATCAAGGATCTTATAACGAAAACATGACAGGAGATTATATTTAGGGGCTGATTCGTGAAAGTAGTTTACAGTATAAGTACACATCACAAAAACCTACGCACTTTTATTTTTGGTGGCCTCCTGGTGTAATCCTGGAATAAATAAATGTTACGTTTGATTCATATGTCGATTTGTTCTTACTTTGAGTGAACGAGAATTGTTCCTATTCTCCAGTTTTCCCAACTGGCGAATGGTAATTTTGGGAATAGATAAATTTCAGAAATCGCATTATCCTGGTGCCAAAATCAAAGTTTGAAGGAAATATTAACGTATAATTTCTAAGTGTAAGCAAATAGGAAATAAAAGTTGTTACCTGTTGTGGTGTCCTCCCTGTAATGAGTCTATTGTGGACTCTTCCACTTACTATAAAATTAATAGAAAAGTAAGTCTCGGGAGAACAGTCACACAGACTGTTCATTTCTGTTGAACTCTCAACAGAGAAGAACTCGGACGAAGTTTTGCCGCAGGCCAAAGTTTCGTCCGGGGAGGTAAACAAGCCCTGAACCCGTCTAGGCGGGTTTAAAGGGAATATTTCTGGCTGAGCCTACGGGCTCGGAGAAACCCACGTTAAACTCGGCCTTGTGCCACATACACTCCTAGTGGGGAGGTGTTAAATATAACAGTCGCAAAGATTGTTCAACTGTCCAACACTCTGCCTCGGCAGAGAAGAACTCCGACGATGCTTTGCAGTAGTGCATAGTTCGTCCGGGGAGGTAGACAGTCCCTGAACCCATCTAGGCGTGTTCAAAGGGAATATTGTTTGGCCGAGCCTACGGGCTCGGAGAAACCCACGTTAAGCTCGGTCTTGAGCCACATATATCCCTCGTGGGCGGTAGCTGTTAAATAGTAACAGTCGCATAGATTGTTCGTCACTGTCGAAGTCTCTGTCTCGGCAGAGAGGAACCCGGACGAGGCTTTGCCGCAGGGCAAAATTTTGTCTGGGGAGGTAGACAGTCTATGAACCCGTTTAGGCGGGTTCAAAGGGAATATTTTGGGCCGAGACTACAGGCTCGGAGTACCCACAATAAACCGGCTTTGTGCCACATACACCCTCGTGGCGGGGGGTAAATATTAACAGTAGTATAGATTGTTCTACCGGGCTGTGACTGTTCACAGCTGCTGTCAAATTCACTGCCCAAAGGCTGAGAGGAACTCGGACGAGTCTGTGCCGAAATGCAGAGTTTCGTCCTGAGAGGTAGACATACCCAAACCCATTTATGCAGGTTCTACGCGGATTTTTTCGGCCGAGCCTACGGTCTCGGAAGACCCACGTTGAACCTTGTGTCACATATATCCTTTGTGGGGAGCTGTTAAATATTAACAGTAGTATAGACTGAACGCTGATCACCCGACACACACTCACACGTCGTGTAATACTCTTCTGTTCATCACACTATTTATCTGCAACCTCTTGTTTTTACACCGTTACACAGTGTAATAAATATATATTTCTCCATCTCCGGAGTTGCACCAATAATATATAAAGTCACCGACGAAATTATTTGTACAACCATCAATTCTGAATATTTTTATCCAATTCTCAGCATCTAATGCCCGCGTGATGGCAGGTTTCGTGCTTTTTTATGTGATAAAAAGTATATTTTAAAATAAAAATAAAAAAAAAGTGAGAGGGTTAAAAATGGAGATAGCCGCGGATTCGAACTCAAAACATTATCATTGATAATTCTTCCTTCCTTTTTATCACATAAAATTTCGTGAGCAAATTTTAGAAGTGCTTAATTATTGCTAAGTTCTTACTTAGTTTGAGGCAGTACTACCTGCCCAAATCCTTATCCATTCCATCACACGTACGCCCCAACTTATAGCACCTGGAATTCACAAGAAGTCACCCATCTAGGTACTAATCAGGCTCAACGTTTCTTAACTCCGAATTATAACTTGATATGGCCGTAAGCCTAAGTACGCTGGATACATGCTGTTTTTGCAGAGATCGGTTGTAGCAGTTGTATAGAATAAAAGAAAAAATGCGGGCTTCCATTCGGTCTACACGTCTCTCGTAATTTAGTTTGAATTAATTTTCATCGGAATTAACAGAATAGCTGCCGGAAAACCGTGATTTATTTCTTACTAATTTTTAAAAGTTCCTGTCATAACTTTAGTTATTTCTGTTCCTATTTACTTGTGAGGACATTTTAAATCATTTTTTTGTTTCCTCTTACTTCCGTTTTTTTTTTTCGGACTTCCGTTATTTCAATCAGTGCGTTTTCTGATGTATTCACCCGGCTAATTAAAACACCCTCCCCATTCATACAGATATTTCGCGCATTTATTAACAAACTCTGTTCTATAAATTCACAGCTTTGATATTATACTAACATAAATGCGTTTTCAATGTCATTCTATCACCTTATGTCACCCTTCAGTTAAATTTTGAATGCCATCAGATGAGGTTAAAGAAAAGCATTTTTAACAAAATATTTCATATGATTTCATAGAATCCTTATTTATCAAAGTATTATTTTAGCTTTCTATGACAGTAGACCTTTCAAGAAAATTGTGTGTTCCATCATGTGCATTTCAGTCAAAAGTTTCCAACTGTTGTCACAAATTTTCAATTCCTATAACAACCTCGTTATTCTGTTATCAGAGTATTTTCCATACATCTTATGACCTTACGCTGTTTTTTCAAATTATTTTTCTATTTCATTATAATAGGTTGAAGCAAAATGTCGTCACCATTATTTGAAATAAAATATTTCATTCATACAAATTCATGGCATCATTATTTAACTCTCAAAGAATTATGTAGCTCCTTTATAAACTTACGCTAACCTTTGGCTAAATTTTGTAGACTCTCACATTAGGTTGATAGATCTGCATTTTTGGCAAAATCTTTTATTCATATCAACTAATCTAATTTTCTATAACCTGAAACAGCATTTCAGCTTAGTTGTATATTTTATATTGGGAGTCAAATGCAAGCGTTCCCGGCATTATTCTTGTAATATTTCGATCTACTGTTCTCATCTTATTTGATATAGATATTATTATAGACACAACGTTTCGACCAAGTAGCCTTTGTTCATCATCAGGTGTCCATCAATTGGCTGGTATGTTGATATCTGTTTCTTGTGATATTTTATGCTTGTGATATCAGTTACTGTTTGTTCCTACTGTACTATCAATTATTGTTTATCACTACCAAATCTAAGGATCGAACTCATGACCACTAGTTGATAGTAAACCAGGTATTAATAGGACAGAGTTCTGTTTTGGAACCGTGATATGGCACTCAATTTGAAAGTTCGCGTTGCACATGATAAATAACGATAATTTTTTTTTCCACATTGTTACCATTTTTGAGGAAATGTGTCTAAAGTTTACGTTTAGGTAATGAATTCTGGAATGTTGGAATTTCATTCCGGTGATCAGTGAAAGCTTATAACACGGTCAAATAAAACTTATAATTTTCTGAAGCTTTACAAATTATATATGGACAAGATGCGTGGCACAAGTTCATTATTACTAAATTATTGTGCCATCAAATAAGACCTTCATTTGTTTCAAAGGGAAATTATACTGAACAATTTAGCTATATTATAATGTAATATGTTCTACAGTGCAGTAGTTTTTAGTGTGATTTTCAATAAACAATTTAATTTTGAAACATTTTGTCTTATAATTTGTGCCCAGCAGTATTATTGTGTTATATGCCCTTTTATCTATTTTTTTGTTTTTATTAATTATGATCTAACAAATTATTTAACAAATCTTATTCATTGAGTAGAATTTTTTGTAATCTTTTAGACTTCAAAATCGTAGCGTTGCAATTTCATTCCGGCGATCAGTGAAAGCTTATAGTACAGCCTTATAAAATTTCCAATTCACAGAAGGACAAGATTCATGGCACACGCACATTATTGATAAATCTGTGTGCCATCAAATAAAACCTTTATTTAATTCAAAGGGTAATTATACTGAACAATTTCGCTATATTATGATGTAATATGTTATACAGTACAGTAGTTATTGTTATTTTCAATAAAAAAATTAAATTTAAAACATTTTGTCTTGTAATTTGTGCCAAGCAGTACTGTAGTGTTATATGCAATTTTAGCTAATTTAGTTTCTATTAATTATGATCTAACAATTGATCTAACAAATCTTATTCATTGAATGGCATTTTTTTTTTTTTTTGAATATTTTACAATTTTTTACAAAAAATATTGCATATATTCCTTCTAATAATTCATAATTAGAATTGTTGTTTAAACATTGTCATTCAATGTATCTAATACAAAACTTTATTCGAATCTATTCTTGAAATAGTAAAATTTTGAAGTGACTTTGTAAGAAAAAGCCTTCGGGAATTACGTTTTTCTGTACATTGTGTTCAGATGATATTTAAAACAAAATGCTCAAAAATTGGTGAAAGCTATGAATCTCAATTTTGGTTTCAGTATTTATCACATCAAACATCAGCTTTCAAACTAAGTGCAATGTTAATTTTCTCAACAACAAAAAAATCCTTATCTGCAATACGCCAGCGTCTCGAAGGACATTAATAGTGTATTTTTGGAGACTTTTATATTAAATCATGCGAATTTCTAACGCTTGTATGTAATTTTGTTGCTTTTTAACTATTGTTCCTCTAATACAAGGCTCATGAGCCACTCAAGGCAGAGAATTATTAACCTTAGAACACTAACCATGGGTATACAGTACCCAGCGCAAATTTTCCTATTTTTAATTACAATTTTCAGTACCTGATTTTCTTACCTAAATAATGTTTTTCAGTTCCTATTAATATTAACTCAAAGTACAAAGTTTGAAGTACCTCCACGTAAAATATTTTAAATAAAGATTTATATTTAATATTTTTTTGATATTTTCAAAATGGTTATGATATACCCATGGTTAGTAATGGTATAACTTTAATTGATGGTTAGTGTTCTAGGGTTAAATACAGTTGTATGACTGCAAGAGGAGAAGGTATGAAGTGTAGATTATGGGGACATGAGGGAAAGATAACGATTGACCCCAAATTTGAAAAGTTTAAAATTGTGGTGGACGGGGAAAGTTCCTCTCGGGAGTTTGTTCCATAAAATAACGGTTCTTGTAAAGAAACTGTACGAATGTAACTTCCTCCTTACCAATGGAATACGAAGTGGGTGAGGATGGTTCACTCCTGTGTAGATGTCATCGCGATTCTTACCTGCAAAAGTTTGAACTAGTGGAACTAAGGAAAATACTTCGGCAGAACATTTTCCATGGAAACAGAGACAGAGCAGCGATAGGGCAACGATAGAGCAGCGATAGAGCAGCGATATGGCAGCGATATAACAGCGATAGTGCAGCGATATAGCAGCGATAGGGAAGCGATAGAGCAGCAATAGGGCAGCGATAGGGCAGCGATAGAGCAGCAATAGGGCAGCGATAGGGCAGCGATAGAGCAGCAATAGGGCAACGATAGAGCAGCAATAGGGCAGCGATAGAGCAGCAATAGGGGCGGCGATAAGGCAACGATAGAGCAGCAATGGGGCAACGATGGGGCGGCGATAGAGCAGCGATAGAGCAGCAATGGGGCGGCGATGGGGCGGCGATAGAGCAGCAATAGGGCAACGATGGGGCGGCGATGGAGCGGCGATAGAGCAGCAATGGGGCGGCGATAAGGAAACGATAGAGCAGCAATAGAGCGGCGATAGGGCGGCGATGGAGCAGCAATAGGGCAGCGATAGGGCAGCGATAGAGCGGCAATGGGGCAACGATAGAGCAGCAATGGGGCGGCGATAGAGCGGCAATGGGGGGGCGATAGGGCGACAATGGAGCAGCAATAGGGCAACGATGGGGCGGCGATAGAGCAGCGATAGAGCAGCAATGGGGGCGGCGATGGGGCGGCGATGAGCAGCAATGGGGGCAACGATGGGGGCGATAGAGCGGCGATAGAGCAGCAATGGGGCGGCGATAAGGAAACGATAGAGCAGCAATAGAGCAGCGATGGGGCGGCGATAGAGCAGCAATGGGGCGGCGATGGGGAAGCGATAGAGCAGCAATAGGGAAGCGATAGGGCAACGATAGGGCAGAGATAGAGCAGCAATAGGGCAGCGATAAGGCAACGATAGAGCAGCAATAGGGCAACGATAGGGCAGCGATAGAGCAGCGATAGGGCAGCATCAGGGCAACGATAGGGCAGCGATAGAGCAGCGATAGAGCAGCAATAGGGCAACGATAGGGCAGCGATAGAGAAGCGATAGAGCAGCAATAGGGCAGCGATAGGGCAACGATAGAGCAGCAATAGGGCAACGGTAGGGCAGCGATAGAGAAGCGATAGAGCAGCAATAGGGCAGCGATAGAGCAGCAATAGGGCAGCGATAGGGCAACGATAGACCAGCAATAGGGCAGCGATAAGGCAACGATAGAGCAGCAATAGGGCATCGATAGGGCAGCGATAGAGCAGCGATAGGGCAACGATAGAGCAGCAATAGGGCAGCGATAGAGCAGCAATAGGGCATCGATAGGGCAGCGATAGAGCAGCGATAGAGCAGCAATAGGGCATCGATAGCGCAGCGATAGAGAAGCGATAGGGCAACTATAGGTCAACGATTGAGCAGCAATAGGGCAACGATAGGGCAGCGATAGAGAAGCGATAGGACAGCGATAGGGCAGCGATAGGGCTTGCAAAGTTGAGTCTGTGGAAAGGGGGTTGTAAGGCTGAACATATTTAATCGCCTATAAGAGCGCGTAGAAACAGAGAATTTGTTAGCTCCATCTTAGATATGACAGTATTATTCCATTTTGGTCTTATCTGACTTTTGTAAAAATAGAGAATAGCAAGAGGCGTCATATATATCTGGATTTATAGAGGTGCCGGGCAGTTACCGTAATATTGGCGCTGAATGTGAAAAATCAATTTGCGAACTAAAATTGATCGCCTTTATATCGAAACATCGGCTCCAGAAAGAAAAAAAAAGAAAAAATTAGATTTTAGAAATCTTATAAGGTTGATAAATATTTTCCCAATTGATAAATGCCCATGTTAAGGAGGGAAATACTGTTGCTTATTTTCTGAAGTGATCCTCCAAGATTTCGTAGCAAACAGCAAATCTTAATTGTCTGCAAATTCAAAGGCTACCACGCGTCTCATAAGACGTCGCTGATTGGTTAATACATATAGATATTCAAATTTTTTAAGCCGATCCGTGAAAAAAAATGTCAGTTTTGTACAAAATTGTTTTTTTTAGTGATATCACTAAAATCCATAACATTTTTCGACAATTATTTAATCTATCTAATGACGAAGCTCAACGTTTGCTTAACTTCACTAATCATACGAGAACTGTTTGAATTTTGCGTGCTCGTAAGCCAGACGACGAAGGGAGATGTTGTTCTATAGAGAGATGCTGAAAACACCATGGACTGAATAGTTGAGTAACGAGGAATTTATAAAACGGGCTAGAAACATGCCCTAAATTTAACACTCACAGTACATATTAAAGGGGAGGAAGGGCTGCGGGACACAGTGAGTAACATAGCTGACGTGTTTGTGTGAATGAACGACAAGGCGCAGAAAAAATGGTGGTAAAGAGTCAAACGTTGCTTAGAGTAACAAGGTGTCAGGAAGTTGTAGAGAGCCACAACCGTCTATGTCCTGAAAGCAGATGGCACATAAAACTGATGGATGGCATTGGAAAATCTTGCTAAGTGAGAATTCGGTTCCTCATAAGAAGGCACCACCATCAACAGCAGTCATTTAACCAGGAATGCCAATCTTTTATTTTTGCCCCGCATTGTTACAAGCGATGAAAAAATGTCTTTTGCATATCAACAGAAACAAAAAAAAATAAACCAGTGGTTATCACAAAATGAGACACTAGTGCTAACACCGATAATCCACCCACAGAAGTCCTGTATGTATGTAAGAATATAGTGGATTATGAATGATGTCGTCTATTACGATCTCCTGGGGCATGGAAGGACCATCAGGACAGACGTTTGTTCCCAGCAACTAAATAAAGTAAATGAAATGGAACTTTCTTTCAGCTTCTTGGTTTCCAGACAATTTTGACTTTCAAAAAGTTAAATACAGTCCTTCGTTATTTTCAGTAATCTTAATTCGATATTTACCCGAGCCGACCACCTCCACACACACACACACACACACACACACACACACACACACACACACACACACAGCGCGATGTGGCACAATGCTGGTTTATTAAGTGGAGCTATCCGAGCGCGTACGCTCGGGTAAAAATTCTCCATAGACCCCGCATACATAGGGTCGGGTGACTGTCTACCTCCCCAGACGTGACTGCACGAAGGCATAGCCTCGTCTGAGTTCCTCTCGTCATCTGAATTCGTGTTCTTTTATTGTCCTCTCACCTTAATAGTAGTTTTTTCTTATATTAACATTCAGCAGCCTCTTGCATCCTAGTGGCTTTATTGCCTTGCTTGGAGTGAAATGATTAAAAATAATAATAGACAATTTGTTCTTTTTAATCATGTGTAATGCCATAGCACTTCATAGTGTATGTGGTTATGACTCTCTGCAAATCTTTATATTCTTGTTCTTTTAATGTTCTCACCCCTAATAATATTTTCTTTTTTCACATTGTTTCACCTTAGTAACTCATTGCATCTTAGTGACTTTATTGCCTTACTTGGGGAGAAATGATTATAAACAGTGTTACGTCGAAAGAGCCCTGATTTGTTAAATTGAAAATGTGTTGTTCGCCAACATTACAAGACCCTAACATTTTCCATACACACACACACACACACACACACACACATTCACACACAAAGAAATCGTGAGGATGGGAAGCTCTTCCATATCTTTCATACTTACTCGATGTGACACCTGAAGAATTTCATTTGCTTCTCACTGGAATATTTCAGAAATGTCCGACACAATGTCAATGTTGAAAACAGACTTTCAAATTATAGTTTGATACTGCAACGGGTTCTTTTAAGCAGTCAGGGTGGATACATGACTCAACATTTGTTCTTATCATGCTTTTGCGCCAATGTTCATGATTGGTACCGATGTTTAAATTGTATTTTATATTTTGAGTTGAATGCGATGCTCAGAGCCCCTGCGCAGTGAGCGACTTTTTATTTATTTATTTTATTTTATTTATTTTATTTTTTTCATTTTGCTTTCGTGGCGTTGACATACGGCCAGGTTTTGGTTTTCGGAGAATCAGAAAGAAATCCGATTTGAAGCAGAATAGAATTTTCCAGGAGAAAGTCCCATGGAAGATTTGCTTTCTTATACCTCGATTGAAAATAAAGGCAATTGCACTACAAGTGCTCTACATAGATATATTATATCTTTTTGGAATCAGGATGATCATACGATTGAAAATATGTCCTTTATCTCATGCTTAAACATCCAACGTCCAGATGAGGACGGAACAGTAAAAAATTCAAATTTTAAAATAACTGAAAAAAATTAGTGATTTTAAAACTTTGTGAAATTATTATTTTTTTTTTTTTCAATTCAGTTTAAAATATCTTTGGGAATTGATGTGTCGGAAGCCTACCACCCCTCATGAAGATGAACTTGTTTGCGAACAAAGACTTTAAATAGTGGCATGTCAAAAGATAGAGAAGTTCTTAGCTGAGCTAATTATTGACTACTCAGGCGATTTCTGTACCTTTTTACCAACCTATTAAAACCCTTTTTATTGTTACGTGTTATTTGGCGTTTGTCTCTACTAACCCCAAATCAACATCATAACAGGAATTGAGAAAATCAATTTTATTTCTTCAAAATGCCAAGGAATCAGACTTAAAGTGGTGGGTTTTGTGACGTGACGTTTTGAAGTTCCGCAGTTTGTGATTTGAAAAAGTCAACTCAATAGAAGTTCCAAGGCGTTTGTGATTTGAAGTACTCAATTTTCGGTCTGAACTGGAATTTCAGGTCAAATAGGAGTTTCGGCCCAAATCGATGTTTCGGCCTAAATCGGTCTTTTAGCCGAAATGGCATTTATAGCCCGAATCAGAGTTAAATTATTGTTTTGATGTTCCATGGAGTGAATTACAGAATTCAAAGTTATTTCTTCTACATTACCATTGCTGTTTTTTAAAACTAGACCAGAGATCACTTTAGTTTGGAACTGGAGGCCCAATTAGCCCTCCTCAGTAGCTATCTTAAAGGTCCGCATGGAGTCCGCCTTTTAAACAAGTATTTCAACAAATTTAATTCACACCAAGATAATTTCATTCGAATACTTTATAGCAGAGCTCCCGAATCTGACAAAAAATAAATACCTTTTCAAATATAGCAAATGATTTCTTCACTTTACTTACAGCATTGGAACGAGCATTCCACCAGAAACGGAAGTTCCAGCCGCCCAGCAAACGAAGAGAAAATAAAAAACAAGAACCGTAGCCAATGAACCGAAACCGAATTGAAGATGCGTATCTCGTGAGAAAAGATGTTTTACGGCATCTTCTCCGCTTAAGAAAAACAAAGACGCCACTGAAAGACAAGAAAAAAAAATGAATGAAAAACAATGAATAAAGAACAGGCAAGTCATAATAATGAAAGAAACAATTTGTTTCTATTTGTAATATTTTCGTTCTTTTTTTTACCATAAAACACCAAATATATTTCCTTTTTTATTTTATTTTATTCTTTGTCCTTTTTACTTGGGTTTCTTTCTTTTATTATGAATTTTTTTCATGTTTCCCTTGCGATACGAAATTACGTAAAACGAAGAAGTAATTACTATGAATTTATATAATAAAATCTTTTTATCTTTCCCAACTCACCAAAATTTGACTTTAATTTTGAAAGGTTACCTTAGTTTAGGTCAGATTTATAGGATATTTTTAATGAGTTATAGATTCACCTTAATGTTCAAGTCTCAATTTTTAGCATGGGTTTGGTTTTCTTGTATAATGTAAGGTTGTTCTGAAAATAATGCCCCATTTTAGCATCAACGTTTATCCCTGAATTAATATATTTAAAAAGTCTTTAAATCAGTCAAAATAGAAACCCTGAACATCTATGAATTCCTGCCATTGAATTATGAGGTTATTTATGCTTTTACGTTAAAACTCTAAAGGTTTGGACGTCAAGAAATCTTTAAATGCAGTTTAGAAATCTTCTTTGCAACTGAATCTTTTGGGCTTAAAATATTGATAGAGATCGAGCCAGAATCAGGGAGATGCAAAATCGCGTATCCCAAGTCGATGAGGTTCTGCAGTATCATCCTGCCGAAATGTGGCCGAGCATTTTCATAAAGCAGAATTGGACCTTATCGATTGACTCGTGCCGGGCACGTTTCGCTTAACTGAATGTGCATTGCATCCAGTTGCTGGCAGTAATCTCTAGCAGTGGTACTCTGGTTAGATTCAAGAAAGCTGCAATAGATAATGCCAATAGCGGACCAGCAGACTGTCACCGTATTTTTCTGTTGGTGCAATTTTTATTTGGGAAAGTGTTTGGTTCCTTCGTCATGATCAGACTATTAAGCCGATCGAAGATGCAGCATCGAACACACTTTAAAATGTCTAGCTCTTTGACTTTCACAAAGTGTTATAGAGTAGTTTCACAGTGGAGGCTTGTATTTCACTAAGTCGGTCCTAAAAAGGTTCGACGTACAAAACGTTAGAAACTTGATACAATAGTTAATGACGCAGCAATCTAGTTGTGGTGGTTGATACTTTAATGTCCGACATAGACTGACTGAGCAACTCTCTGAGCTCGCTGCTACTACTACTACTTATTATATGTGGGAGAGTCTATTAACAATAGAATAGGTATGTTCCAGTATAACACAAAGTTAACGTGAAACCAATTTATCAACTTTTTATTTACTGCTGTTGTGGAGTGGCTGAAAGCCCCCACAAGATGAACTGGTTTAAGACTATTTAAACAGCATATTCTTTTACTGGGGGAAAGAAGCTAACGATTAGATTTCGTTAAATCTCTGCTGGTCGACCTCCCTGCCTTCGGGAAGAGAGGAACTCAAACGAGGCTATGCCTACGAGCTAAATCACGTCTGAGGACACAGCTGCCCAACCCCGTCTATATGGTGTTTACGGGGAAACTACTTTTTACTTTCTATATGTGTGACAATAAACTCGGCCTTGTGCTACATCCAACCGCGTGGGGCGGTTAGTGAATATCATCATTCTCAGCGCCGTAATGTAGCTTTTTCTATAAATACATTCATAGTAAATGTTCGGATGAACTCTTCGCTATGGAAGCTAGACTTTATGAATTTAAACGCAGTACTAGATTGGCGGCAAGGTCTCATCAATTCACAGTTAAATTGGCTAGATGTAAATTCTTTGCTAACAGTTTCTTTCAGCTTGTGGATCCTCCACCGGCTCCATGCTTTCCAGCCAACTTTAATCTTCAAAACCTTAAATGCAGTGCCAATCGTTATCTTCCCGGAGTTACACTCTAGGCGTGAAAATTTAAATTTTATATTAAATCCATTGCTAGGTCCGCTGCTAAAGAATGCTGTGTCGTGTTAAACAATTTTTTCTCTCCTGAATCTATCCTGCATATTCATAAGTCGACCATTCGTTATATGCCTTGAATATTGCTGCTACATATGGTCCGATGCCCCTACTGTATATCTAGAGATTCTTGATAAAATTCAAAGAAGAATCAGCAATATTATTGGTCATGACATGGCATCTCAGCTTCAATCACATTCTGACCGCCGTAATGTAGCTTCCTTGTGTCTTTTCTATAAATATATTCATGGTAAGTGTTCGGATGAACTCTTTGCTTTGTCCGCTAGACTTCATTAATTTAAACGCAGTCCTAGATTAGCGGCAAGGTCTCATCAATTAACAGTTGAATTATTTATACGTAACCGTAAGTTCTATGCTAACAGTTTCTTCAAGAATCATAAGAATTAAATATTGCTGCCACATATGGCCCGATGCTCCTACTGTATATCTAAAGATTCTTGATGAAATTCAAAGTAGAATCAGCAATATTATTGATCCTGGCCTGGTGTTTTGGCTCCAGTCACCAAAACAAATTAAAACTTAGAAATGAAGATGAGAAAATGGTGTTGCATCAAACTGTGAAAAGTGGGAAGAATTTGAGAAAATATCGATATCGCACTTTTCGCTTGTTGAACTCTTCTTCGGCTCCATGCTTTCCAGTCAAATTTGATCTTCAAAAATTTAAAAGCAATGTCAATCGTTATCTTCTTTCTTCCTGTCAAACGTTATCTTTCTTTCTGAATAGATGGCGGGACGAGGTTTAGGAAAAATAATAAAAAAAACAAAAACAAAATTTATTAAGAACTACGAAGGACAGGAAGTTGTGAAGAGCCATGACAGTCTACATCCCGAGGGGACATGGCACATAAAGATGAAGTTATTGCTTACCCTCGTTATAAGTTCCATTTGTAAACCAATTGCTTCCGACTTGATTAAATTCACCCTTTGGACACTTGTATCTCACTACAGACGATTCAACATGGAGACTGGTTCTGCTGTCGTTATAACAGCTATAACTGCGATAAAGAGAAACAATATGAAGTATTAAATAAATTTAACATAAAAAAAAACAAATTAAAAATTAGAAATGAAGATGAGAAGATGGTGTTGCATCAAACTGTCAAAAGTGAGAAGAATTTGACTGCCGTCCTTGAAAATCAGCTTGGGAATTTTTGTATTTACTTGGAATCGAACCTCTTCAAAAGTGCCGCGTCCCTATTTACAATTTGCAAGTCATTTGTAGCTCTTAAAATGGATTTTTTGTTTTGTTTAGGTTTTCTTTTTTTTCTCTCTCTCCCCTAATCTCTGTCCTCTCATCCATCTACACAATCTCGTTAGGTAGGTGATGAGCTGTTTTACTCTGTCTCTCTAGAATTCAATATGGCCTGTGAGTGACAAATTTTCTAAGCCCTCTTTCTTCGTCATGTACTCTAGAAAGTTTAACTGTCTCTTTCTGATGTAGAAATGTCCATTTTTTTTTCAATTTTCTCTCAAACTTCGTAATTTTTCATATATTCAGTTTGTATTCTCAGCATCCTTCTGTAGAACCGTATTTCTTGAAATCGAAATGCCAAACAAGAAATACACATTTTTCTCGAATAGTATGGTATGTTGGAATTCTGTAAACAGAAGGATTGTCTTTTTTACGAGTTTTCAAACCATAGTGATTTATTTAAAGCGGAAACATATTTGTGATCGTAAGAATAATTCTTTTCTTTTTATTTCGAATGAACATTGCTTCAATTTTTGAGAATAACTATGATTTTCCCAGATGCGAGTGTAGCTCTTTACCTCATAGCTGGAGGAAAGAGATGAACTAATACCATTCCCAAGGCTATTTTTGAGTAATTGAATGTAAATATGGTAACGATAATATTAGCCGTTTCCTTATAAGGAAACATTCGGCATTCATTGATCGAGTAGCCAATGCTACCGTCAGTTCAAATTTATTAAAGTTTTTCTTTTAAACAATTTTCCAAGAAAACAGGTTTTTCAAGTCCAGAAACTGTTATTGCTCATTTCAACGGAAACGCGGTGTTTCTTTCTAACCTTTTATTTGAAGTAGTGTAGAATGTCAACATCTTGATTAAGCCATTATTTTCTTTTCTCATGCCCAGTAGCTGTTATCTCTCTTTCCAGTATTCATGAAGGTTTCTTTCCTAAACTTTCGTTTGAAGTAGTGTGGAATGAAACATCTTTATTATTTCATTATTTTCTCTTCTGAAGCCAAGTAGCTGTTATCACTCTTTCCAGTAGTGATGGAGAGTTTCCTTCCAAACCTTTTATTTGAAGTAGTGTGGAATGTCAATGTCTTGATTATGTCATTATTTTCTCTTATGAAGCCCAGTAGCTGTTATCACTCCTTCCACTATTAATGGAGAGTTTCGTTCCAAACCTTTTATTTGAAGTAGTGTGGAACGTCAACATCTTGATTATGTCATTATTTTCTCTTCTCAAGCCCAGTAGCTGTTATCACTCTTTCCAGTATTGATATAGTTTTCCTTCCAAAAAATTTTCGTTTGAAGTAGTGTGGAATAACAATATCTTGATTATGTCATTATTTTTTCTCATGAAGCCCAGTAGCTGTTATCACTCCTTCCACTATTAAGGAAGAGTTTCGTTCCAAACCTTTTGTTTGAAGTAGTGTGGAGCGTCAACATCTTGATTATGTCATAATTTTCTCTTCTCAAACCCAGTAGCTGTTATCACTCTTTCTAGTATTGATAGAGTTTTCCTTCCTAAGCTTTTGTTTGAAGTAGTGTGGAATGTCAACATCTTTATTATGTCATCACTTTCTCTCATGAAGGCCTGTGTGACGTCGTCCCCTGGTCGCAGCGCCAACTGTGACGTCCTATCCTGGTCTATCACGGCACCAACTGTGACGTCCTTGCCGCGGCGCCAGCTGTTCGCTCCTCGCTGCTCCGTTCGAGTGTCGCCGCTCCAAACGTGACGTCCGCCTGTCGCGTCAGTCGTGTTGTCTCGTCATGTAACGACCAACTGGCTTGGTATCGGTCGCGGCACCCAAATGTGACGTTCTAACCTTTTGGTGATTCGGGTGGGAATC